CATTTTGAAATGTCTTCAAAAATGCCAGGTCTTACTGTAAGGTGCACACCTCTGTATATACACTGCGTTAACGTGTTGTACCTGTGGGTTTGGAACAAGGTCCCTGACAGCAACATGGAGGAACTGAAAGCAGAACGCAAAAAAAATTTTCATTTGGAGGCCTCTGTTCCCCCTGAGCTTGGCAGGGTTGCTCTCAGACTTCAGTTTTCACATCTGGATTCCTTTGCATCAGCTGCCTTTATTTGTTTTGGGCAGAAAGCCTTTGTGTTTATTTATATATGTATGTTATATCTATAAACCCCCCAGTACATTACTTGATTGTTTTTTTGTTTTTCCCTCCTAGATTACTCCTTGACTAGCGCAGACCTGTCTGCCCTGCAGGGATTTAACTCCCCAGGAATGCTGTCCCTGGGGCAGGTGTCTGCCTGGCAGCAGCACCACCTCGGTCCCGCGGCCCTCAGCTCTCTTGTGTAAGTACCCAGGGTACCAGGGCAGCACTGGGGGGGCTTCAGCTCTTCTGGAGCAGCTGCACCAAGGGAATGTTCAGCACATTTTAATCTCTTGTCTGTGCTGCAAAACATCCGTGTGTCCCTTCAGTCACCTCCAGCCTCCAGCTAATGAGCCATGTCCCAGGCTCAGCTTCTCACCAAGGAGGCACCTGTGTAGTGACTGAAATGTTTGGCAAGAGAGAATATTTGTTTGTTCTGAAGTTCTATAAATGCAGCTCAGACCTTTAATTAATTCTTTTTTCACCTTTGCTTCTCCCAGTAAGGTGCATTTATTTCTGTGCTGAGCCCCAAGGCCTCACCATCACAGACACGTGGATTGTCACTCGGTTTTCGCTTTCTGCATTCCCTCATATGCGCCTTTCGGTTTTCTTTCCCCAGCACTGGCAGCCAGCTATCTCAGGGTTCCAATCTCTCCATTAACACCAACCAAAACATCAACATCAAATCTGAACCGATCTCCCCTCCCCGGGACCGCGTCACCCCCTCCGGGTTCCCGCCGCAGCAGCCGCAGCAGCCGCCGCCGCCGCCACCGTCGCGCCAGGAGCTGGGGCGCTCCCCGGTCGACAGCCTGAGCAGCTCCAGCAGCTCCTACGACGGCAGCGACCGCGAGGATCCGCGCAGCGACTTCCACTCGCCTGTCGTGCTGGGGCGACCGCCCAACGCAGAGGATCGGGAGAGCCCCTCGGTAAAACGAATGAGGATGGACACGTGGGTGACATAAACCCGCAGTGCCGCCCTTTCAGTTTTGTGTTCTCAAAATGAACTGTCCTGACATATCTAAATTTATAAATAAGGACATGAATAAGTATATTTATATGTATATACATACGTGCATATATATATCTTCACATGCATATATATGTGCTAGTGTGTGTAGCATACACCAATCATCAGGCACTTACGACAAACTCTTGTATAGCTGCAGATGTCCCTTGGTAAAAGTAACAGAACAATCCCGTAGGTTTGATCTCTAGTCTGGCACTTACCTGGACTCGTGTGTAACCCCAGCCCGGCCCCGCGCACAGCGGCGTCCCCGCAGTGTCTCCTCCTCCTCCACACCCACCTGAGCGAGGGCTCGCCTGTAGTACCGTCCCTGTGTGTAGTCAGCTCTATGGTTACTCGTAGTTAAGAAATAATTGCTTTGTAGCAGCAGAGCAGTAGAAAAGCAGGAAGAAGAAAGCAATACTGTACATAAACTGACCTTTCTATTACCCAACCTGGCATGGGTCTCTATTGCAGAGGGTGCATGGAGAAGGGCTGATGCTATAAGAAATAAAATAAAAAAAAAACCCAACAAAAACCCTGTTTTGCACGTGCAAAAAAAAAAAATAAAATAGTGTATTGGGTCAAAGAAGTGATTTTTTTAATGAGTGAAAGAGAGACATAGAGAACTCGCATGAAATATTCAGAAAATATTAGCCTAGAAAATAGAACATTAACAAAATAAAATTAATATATTAAGTTATAATTGGAATATGTTTGACAAATTTGTTTTTACGTTCATACCTTTGAAAAATATAGAAACGGATTTTAGCTCATGTATATTTTATATTAAAGAAAACAATACCCTAATGAATTGAAGACTATATATAAAGTTATATACAGTACTTTTGAACACATTCTGCTATGAATTATTTATATAAGCCAAAGCTGTATGTTGTAGCTTTTTTGTAGAGTATAGTTTTATCTTATTTTGACTTTCTAGTTTTTGCTTTCAAAGATGAAAAGGAAAAACTTGCAGGCGGAACCTTGGGGGAAAAATAAGCCATGAACACTTATATGTAAATTTAAATTTGAGCCAAACTCTTTGTGTATATAGCATCCTAAATATATTATCACCTTTGGTGTAAGTACCTATGTATTGTACGGTCACCAGATTAAAAAGTATATTTTTGTGGATTGACGCCAACTTGAAACAAGGCGAGGTCCTTATTAAGTAGAGTATTCACTGTTTAATATTTACTATTTTGTTAAATATACTGTACTTTCTTTGGATTTTAATTATTATTAATATTATTATCCAGATTTTTCAGAGGGTGTATAAAGGGGTTGGCCCCCTCACTGGTGGTGAATGTGTGCCGTTCAATTGTAATCTCTGTGCTGTATGGTTAAGCTTCATTATACATTTTATATATATGTATATAAATAGCAAAGTGGCAAAAAAAAAAAAAATCCGGTGTTAAGTTCATCCTGCATAAATATAAAAAATCTGTTACAACACATTTTAAGGCATCATTTTAAAGCTGCCTCTTCTGAGGAGGAAAAAAAAAACAAGTGGAAAAACTTGACCTAATTTCTCATGATAGGGAAATGACACATATCAGAGGAGCACAAAAGGTTTTGTGAGTTGGCAAGTGGTTTGGGAAAAATTTGCTGCTTCCCAGAAAGAGAGGGAGGAATGCAGAGCCCCCTTGTGCCGCTAGACTGGGCTGGGAGCAGGTTTGGTGTTGGGTGAGGGGCCGTGATCCCGCCGGTGCTCCGGGTCACCTCCGGGCCGGCAGTGCTGGTTCTGGGTGGAAGCTGCAGAGCTGTGGGATTGCCCAAACTCTTCGGAGTTAGCCCTGATATTTATTACGTTTTCTGCTTGGGCTTTTTTTTTTTTTTTTTTTTTTTTTTCCAGTTAAGAAATTCCCTTGATGCTGTAAGGGAGGGGTGAAGAGGGCGGTGTCCCTGTGGTAGCTGTGGCCTCCAGCCCTGTCTCCTTGTCCTGGCAACGTTAAAACCCGCAGGGCCTCCGGTCCCTTCCAGCCCTGCCTCGCAACTGTTCCCATTTCCGTGGGTTCATCCCAGCGGGCAGGAGCTGCGGGCAGAAGGGACCCGTTCCCGGGGACCGAATTCACTTGCTGCTCCCTGGAACCTTTTGCTGCTCTGACCAGTGATGTGAGTTCCATGATTTATGCACCTGTATGAACTTTGCTGTACATCCGAGTGGGAGTTCTGCATTCACATTTACTGTCTATTTTCTTGTGTGCCTTATCAGATGGCTTTGCTGACTGTATCTCAATAGTCTTTATTTCTATGCAGGTTTTTAAACAGTACTTAACTACTGTTTTCTTAAAGACAAAGCTACACAAGGGTTAGAGTTTGTATTGAAATTGCACCAATGAATTAAAAAAAATCTAATAAAAAGAATCAATTCTAAAGAGCTGGGCCAGGGAGCGGCTCTGTGCTGCCCCAACCCCGGCAGAAACGTCCTTCCACAGCCCTCCGGTCTCGGGGAGCACCTCCTGCCACCGAGGACATGAGAATCCTGGTTTTTAATAACAAGTAACTCACTTTGAAACATACTTTTTTAGAAATTGTAAAAATGTTTTATAAAAAAAAAAAAAAGATGACATAGCACAGATATTTCAACAGGTTAAAAAAAAAAAAAACTTTTTAAAATTATCTCTGCTGACTGAAGTGCAAGTGGATCCAATCCTGGGCTGAACCCAGTCAGGTCTGAATGATTTAGGATTTTTATCTCTGTTGTGACAAATCACCTCCATCCTCGAGCTCTCACGATAGTTTTGAGAACGCCACGTTGTCAGGGACTCGTCAGAGAGAACTGCTTTAGCCTTGCCTTCCCTCCAAGGACACTAATGCATCAGAAACTTGCGAGTTACTGTGCGCACAAGAAATACATAGTAAATAAGGAACAAAACAACTCCTAACAATTGATCCTGGGCAGAAGTTAAATCCGAATGTGAAAGAAAGACTTAACCAATGTAAACATTTAAATCTTAGTAGAACCTTTCTTCACTTTGCTGTGCAAGAGAACACTGCTTTGCTATATTTAAAATGGCTTTTTTAAAAGAGATTTATGTATTTGGTAAATGTTTGTAGTCAACAGTTCACAAGAAGCTGTTCACGGTTTAATGCTGATAAGCCGTTTGGCGGCACAAGCTGGACTTTGTTGCCATCCTTGAGACGAATCTTTTAAGAAAAAAAATAAGTTAATCTCAATTTTTTTCCCTGAATGTGTTGTTTTTTCTTCAATATACAATAAATATTCTAGTGAACTTTTTATCAAATGGTTAAGAAAATGCTAGAGGTTGTTGTAAAATATTTGTATCCTGCATTCACTAAAGTAAAGATACTGGCTTTTACTGTGTACTCCAGCCTCTCTCGTGTTTGCAGAGCTCTGGTCCCATCTGGCGCGTCCTTGCCCCCTCCAGGTGTCAGTCCAGGTGTGAGGTGTTGGTTTTTAACTGCGGCCACGAGGATTTTCATCAGCAGGGATCCACATTCTGCTTGTTACTGCACTCAAGGACTGATGCCTGCTAAGAACCGTTCAACAAAACACTTGGAGAAACCGGCAGGTGAACCAGGGTCCATTCAGAGTGGAGAGCCCAAGGCCAGTCCTGCCTCTCCAGCCCCAGTTCCTCCTGCTGCTCCCACTCCTGCTCAGCTGTGTGGTAGCAAATAAAGCACAAGCTGTGCCCCTTGTGCTTTTATTTCATGTGGCTTTATTTAAAAATGTAAGAACCCCTTCCCACCCCCTCCCCAGAACAAAGAGATACAGCTCTTCACAGAAGAAAAATACAAGTATTTGTTCAGTATAAGATACTTTGGAGTGCTTGTTTACAAAACTAGGTTCCCGCTTTTGAGAGCTGCAGGGAACACAGCTTCTCATTGTAATAGCACACAGTTGTGTTTGTGTGGGGTCCTCACCTTGCTGGAGAAGTTTCAAGCCTCCTGTCCAGGCAGACACTGCCAGGCAGAGGCCGTCCTCCACGCCAGGCTGAGGCCACACCTGGACAACAGGTGTCTGTACCGGTGTCTGCACCACAGCCCCTCTCCAGCCCCTGCTCTGCCCCAGCAGCCTTGGGCTGCCAGGGGGAGCTGGAAAAGCCCTGTGGTCCTGCTGGCAGCTGGGAAGCTGCAAATGGGACTGGGCCGAGGTGGGGAAGACAAACAGTGGCTTCCTGCACCTGCCCACCAGCCGTGCCCTCACCCTCAGCACCAAAGGCACCTACCCACACGAAGTCCCGTAGTGTTTGGTTCCAGGAAAGCCTTTACCTCTGCCCACAAGCCTGGAATTTGCTGAATCAAATTGCTGAGGCAAATTCTTCTCTTTAGCAAAGCTCCCAAGGCCTCCTTTGCAGCAGGCATTGTTTGCTGAGTGGCCTCGAAGAGCACAGCCTCGGGCTGACCTACACCTCCACTGCCCTGTAAAGCTTTTCCATGCATGTGGTCAGTTCACAGAAACCTGTCAAACAACAGCTTCACAGTCCACTCCTAGAAAGGCTTCACCCTTCTTTCTTGGACTTCTGTCCTGGACCTTGGAACCTGCACCCAGCTGAGCACTTCACTCCTGCTCAGACTGCACACAAGGAAGTAATTCCATGACTGAGTCCAGGTCATGAGAAGCACCACTATAGACTATTATTAATCTTTTTAGCAGAATACTGACTGGACCTCCTGCCAGCAAACCAGCCCCTGCAAAGTGCCTGTGACTCCTCTCGCCTGCTCTCCTGTCATCCTCCAATACCCCATGCCCACCTGGGGCCATACAGGGCTGAGCAGCACCCTGGGACAGCACAGATCCTGCACTGTAACCTCTGATCTCAGGAGCCATCTCTGAAGGATCTCACTGAGGGGAAGAGGTCTGGGCTCACCCTTCCCAGGGTGGGCCTGATGCATCCTAATGAACACAGCTCAAAGGTTTGCTCCGGGGCATGGCAAGCTGGGGTGCTGGCAGCATCCTCGTGCCCTGGCACACCCAGCTTAGAGCCCCAGAAAGCAGCATTAGGGTCAAGCAGGCCAAAACCACCATGGTCTGCAAGAGACAAAAATGACACTTCTGAAAAAAAGTGTCCACCACTTCTATTCCAGCAAAAAGTGTTTCCTTAAAATGCAAACAACCCCCAACTTTCCAGCCACATTAATACTGCACTCTCTAGTTCAGCAGCAAAGAATTTGCTTCTAGACATGGCATTAAGAAATACCTGAAGCAACCACAATGAGTATATTGCTACAAAATTCTTTCCCTCAACAGTTCCAAACTCTGAAGCCACCTGGGTGATGAGCTCTGTAAGCAACAAAGCATCCCTGTTTTTCCATCAAAATCACACCGCCTAATTTTTCAGTCAAATTCAGGATTACCATCAACAACTTATAAAAATAATCTGTATTGTTGTATCCCCTCAGATGCACTTGAGTCAGTCACGAGCATGTGGGCATCACTGCTGGAGAGGCTGGAGTAGGCTGTCCTTTCCCCTTAGGATTTTTTCCCTACGACTGAGCCTTGTGGCAATTTCCCTTCCAATCCAGCTGTTGAAACATTTGAGGTTGTTGTGTTAAAGGTGTGGGCCACCAGGCCTTGCGTTTTAAAGTAGATGATATAAAACACTGGCAGGACAATTCCTATCAGGAGCATAATGAACACGGCGTTCCACCACTGGATTCCACAGTCTGCACCGTTACCAGTGTCCCGCTTCCCCGCCTCCGGCAGGGGCCTCTCCAGCCCCTCCCCGCCGTACTCCGCGTTCAGCTGCACCTCCACCTGCACGGCGTCCTGGATGCTCTGGTCGATGCCCCTGAAGTACTCACTGAGGCGCCGGCTGCCAGCGGAGCCGCCCGCGCCGGGCTCGGGCTCCGGCAGCTCCACGCGCGTCAGGCCGGGCTGGGCGGGCTCTGCCGGGGGCGGCCGCAGGGCCCCGGTGCTCTCGGTGAACAGCCCGTGCGGCCGCACCGGGATCTTGATGGACTTCAGCGCATACAGGTCCTGCTCACGGATGAAATTGTTGACGCGTTTGATATCCGCAACCTACGGAATACAGAAAGGACACGAACAGTGAGGGCACGACACCCCCGGAGTGAGGCAGGAAGCAGCTAAACCAAAACCACTGTGCAAGGAGCCATCAGGGAACAAAAGCAGGCCCTCGCTGCAAGCAGTTTGATGTTCTACAGAGATTCTCCAGCAGTTCCAGGGGAGCTCCAGGTCCTGCAGGATAGAGGCAGTCCCCTGTTAAACCAGTACAAACTCCTCTAGTGCTCTTGTACCTGCTGTATTTTGCTCAGGCAGCAGGCAAGCATCCTCTGCTCAAGCAGCACCTCTCTTCTGCAGGACAGCAGCTCATCCAGCCCATTCCTCCTGAGCTGCTCAGTGCTCCTGCTGTAGACAATCACCTCTGTGCTCCTGTCACCACCTCTGGTGGTTCCTGTGTAGGGATCCTGTCTGTGAGCTGTAGCCCCAGCCAGCAGCAGGAAGAGCAAGGAAGAAAAAGCCACATGTGCAGCAGCACACAGGGACAGGCGGTACCAATGCAAAGACAAAGGCAAGGTTAACATTAACTAAGAAGATGCTTAATCCAGTGGCCACTCACAGCCACCCAGTAAACACAGCAACTTCTCAGTTGCACTAAACCTTCTGTCAAAGAAAAGGAACAGGATATCAGTGTGTGCCAGGAGCTCTCCACTGCAGTCGAGGAGACGTGAAAGAACCTTGAGGAAAAGGCTGGAGAGCACGTAAGAAAAGTGAGCGCCAAACCAAAGAGAAAGGCAACACTAACAGGTAAAACACCTCCCATCCATCACAGCAAAGAGACACAGTACAGGGACTGCTTTGCTTTTCAGAAATTACAGCATGACCTGCATTCACTGCACACTCACACGCTTGAGGCTGCCAAGGAAACTGGGGAGCTGAAACAAAAAAAACCCACTTTACTTCCTAAGCACTCTGCTCAGAGGGAGAGATGAGATGGAGGCCTGAATCTCATGTTTACTCTGCAAAGTTTGAGAACTCTGAAAATTGCACATTTAATCCAGGACCTAATCTGGGGACCCTGCAGCAAAAGGAATTCTCAGTTGCTGCTTCAGGCTCCTCAGAGTCGGCCCCAGCGTCATCTCTGGACTTAAACCCGGCAAAATTTCTTAGTTATGAAATAACAATCTCACCCAGAGCCTCCTAACTGAGGTGCTACTTCAATTTCTGGATTTGTTCCAATGAAAACAAATTACTGGGACAGTAAATATCCCCCGTGGTGTCTGCAATCAAATACTGCAGTGTGGTGCTAAGACTCTAGAAACAGAAAGTGGAGCAGCACTCACACAGAAACAACAAACAAAGCTGATGGGAAGCATGCAAGAGATGGGGCTGCACAAGCGTTTAGGCTTATTTTCTGTACCCATTTTTTTGGCTGCAGTGAGCTCCTCTTGTCCCAGCTAAGAACAATGCCAAAAGCAAGCCAGGACTATAAATGGTCAAGAGTAAAAATGAGAATTTTGAAGTGTTTTGCATTTCTGCCAAGTTATCTGTGGCACACACAGAGAACTATTTGTTGCACTGTCTTAATATCCCCTCCCCAAGCAGATTCTGAAACCAATGTAAAATTCTCATTGATTTCAAGAAGTTCATCCTGGATTTTTACACACATTTGCATATATATCTGTGGCTACAGCTATCACTGCTGTGCTGGTGATCTTTCAGGAGGTGTTTAATTGTGCAAATAAAAGAAAACACATGAAAACTGTCATGCCAGTCTTTAAAGAGACAAATAGACAAATCTCCTACAATAAGGATTTGTGTACATGTTCAATTTAACTGGAACAAGTCAGAAGTGCCCTTTCTGGAAGAGGGGAGGCAGCAGGACAGTTTTTTTCCTGTGGGAGAAGAACACTTGACTATGTGGTCCCTTCCAGCTTGCTTTTCCCCTGGGCAGGCCCAGCAGCCTCCAGAGGGACTGAAAGGTGCCAGAATGGGGCAGCAGAGGAACAGCCACAGCAGGGACAGAACTGGGTCCTCTGAGTGACAGTGCAGAGGCACAGCAGGACTCTTCGCACCATAAACCAAAGAACTGTTCAGAATCTCCCTCCTCTGAGTTCACCCAAATACTGTGTCTGCCCAGGCGCTGCTCTCATAGCTCCAAACCCAACCACAGCTCAGCTCTGTCTTCTCAGGCTCTCCTGGGGCCAATCAAGGCCTATTCAAGTCCTACCAGACTTGCTTCTCCACACACATCGGGCTTGTCAGCAGAACCTACAAGGGTGCCTTTTTTGTTTAGTTTTTGTTTCTAAGGGCAAGGCAGGGAAGGAATTGCTGCAATCCCTCTAAGGCCTCTTGCCTCAGCTGCACCGTACAGCTGCTGTGTGGTTAAGCAAGACAGACTGCAATGGCCTGGCAGCACTGGAGCCAGAGCTGTATCATTATCCCTGCTGCGGTCACTGGCCAATTGTTTGCATCATGGAACTGGGGAATCACAGTGCAGCTTGCAGATAGAGAGGGCTCTAAAAATACAGCTCAAACTGCTAAACAACAGGGGGCTTCTAATGTTCAGAGCAGGTAACTAAACTTTCCAGCAGTTTTGCTCTTCTTTGGAACAAAGAAAACGTGTTGTGTAGCTGTTCCAACTCAGAAATCTCACTGTACACACGCCCTCCCTCCTGTCCACAGGCACCTGAACTGTGCACACTTTGGGATGACAGCAAACAACCAAAACCCACACACAGACACCACCTGGACTTTGGGACTGAACTTTGGCACCTCTCCACATCCACCCCTGTTAGACTCAGGCCTTCCTTGCAAAATGTAAGCTGATACCTTTCAAAAAATAAAAAACCTCACCTATAACTGTAGAGTTTCTTTGTACTGCTCAATTTACTTCAAAAACTCCAGTGTTCTGTGAGAGCAGAGCCCTGGCCCTCATTTCTACACTCAGCTCCCTAATGTTTGCCCTCACTGAAATAACTTAGTACAACCTGCACTTAGTCACTGAAATTAAACAGGAAAGCAGGTCAGGCAGGGTATGAGGCTAACAACATCTTCCCAGGCTGTTGGCTGAACAACTCTTTTTTATGTTTGGGGTTTTTTTTTGCCTTTCTCCAGTTTTACCCAGACAATGACCATTCTTACAATACACGGGGCAAACACTTTCTAATGTCGAACTACCAGACCCCAGGACACCCTCTGGAAACCGCTTCACATGAAACCCCTCTGAGGTGATTAACCCCACGCAGATTAACCTCACCTTACAGCCGTATTGCAGGGCCAGCTTGTTGAGGCTGTCCTCCTCGGTGAGCTCCCTCTCCAGAAGCACCACATCCCCCAGCCTGTCCCGGGTGCTGCCCCGCTGCTGCTCCTTGCCCCTGGGCCGCAATTCCATCACGTTGAGCTCCTCCTCCGAGGACTCGTCCGAGTCTGACCGGCCATTGGGGAACACATACACCTGCCTGCCCGGGAAGGTGTGGACAGTGGCAGGAGCCTGGAAGGGTCTTGTCCGGCTCTCATTCAGCCTCATCTTTTACACCAGCAGCACCTGGAACAAATTCCAGACACTTTTCGTTTCCTCAAGACCAGTGTTTAGTTCTCAGCAGGAAAGATTCAGAGAATGCACTGAAAGTTGGCAGGTCTGAGCACTCATGCACGCAAAGGTTTCTTGTACCCAGGGGCAAATCCAGAAGTGTCATTCTAACAGCAGTATTAGAAAAGTTATGTGCTCAAACTGCAGCAATCAGTAACTCTTTTCCCTTTTTTTTTGTCTACCTGTGAACAAACCACCTTGTAACTACGTTGCTCAACATTTTAAATGCTACATTCTATAATTTTATTTAAAAAGTGACACAGTCACTTGAGTGAACTGTCTTTAATTATGATCTAAACATACATCAGGTCTACCAACAGACATTAAAAACTGAGCAAAGTTAACCTTTTCATAAGTCCCTAGTTCTCTACACTTTAGGAATCCACATTTAAAGTTCTTGGAAGTGCACTTTTTTTTTTTTTTTTAATAAGAACAGCTCATGCTACACTTAACTTCAGCCCGAATAACAAGGCTTCATTTTGCTGCATGAAGACTAGAACCTGCCTGAGCACTTTAATTATTACTCAGTCTACAGCTGCAAGTTCGGGTTTTTTTTTTTCTTCAATCCTCAGCTCCACAAACAATTTGTGACCAGGGTCAGGTATAGGTAGGAAAATCCCACATTGTTATGGAACCTTGACCTTAACGTTCTCCATCTACACCTAAGGGATTCTTCCGGTGAAACCACTACGATTTAATGGCATTTCCTTGGCCCCGGCACCCACAGCTGCGGGCTGGGCTCAGCTCTGCCGAGTTCAATGTGCAGGAGCGGGCGGGACGCTGCTGTGGGACACCCCGGCCTCCCCCGACACAGCTCCCTCCTCAGGGGCTGCCCAACTCTTCCCCAAGCTCCTCCGGGGATCCCGATGCCCTCAAGGGACCCCGAGTCCCTCAGCATTTCGGTAGAGTCTTTCTCCCCTCAGGGTGCCCCGCTGCCCTCGGCACCTCGGGGGTCCCGATCCCCTCAGCTCCCGCTCCCCTCGGCACCTCAAGGGGGTCCCGCTCCCCCAGAGGTCCCCGCTTCCCTCAGCGCCTCAGGTGACCCCAACGCCCTCAGCACTTGAGGAGGGTCCCGGCCCCGTCAGAGTGTCCCGCTCCTCCCCAGGGGTCCCGCTCCCCTCGGGGTGTCCCGCTCTCCCCCAGGGGCCCCGCTCCCCTCAGGACGTCCCGGTTCCCACCCCGCGCCCCCGTCACGGACCCGCCGCCATCGGCCCCGCACCGACCTGGCCACAATCTCGCCCAGCCCTCCTCCCATTGGCTGGCGGAGCCGGGGGGCGGGACCTCAGAGCCGCCCGGCCAATGGGAGGTGGCGGGGCGGGAGGGAATGAGCAAGCGGAGCTGGGATGGGCAGGGGGCGGGGCCTCGCTTAAAGGGCCCGCGCCCCCGACCCGGCGGCGGGGACCGAGGCAGGAGCGCTCGGGGGGACCAGGTCACACACCTGAACACGGGTCAGGTCACACACCTGAACAGTGGGACACACCACACACCTGTTAGAGTGGGACACACCACACACCTGAATAGCCCCGGGTGAGGTGCCACTGCCCTGGGACACGTCACACACCGGTACAATGGTCACACACCTGAACGACAGATCATATCACACACCTGCACAGCCCCGTGTTACAGTAACATTTCAGTTTTCACATTGTCAATATGGAATAACAGATGTAATATGTCAATATTACATTATGTCAATATTTCTGCCCGGTGCCTGCGGCGCAGCCGGCAGAGCTGACCAGCTGTGCTCCACACTGCTGTGTTTGCCTTGGCCCACCCTGACTCTTGGCTTATGTTTAAAAAAAAAAAGCTCAGGACACACTGTTAGCAAGTTCCACATTCGATGCTCTTCTGGGGTGCAGGGACAGGAGAAATAATGCCCTCCTTGCCAGCTGTCAGAATGAAGCAGGCACTCTTTCAGGTGCCCAAGGGATGAGGATCACCTACAGGGACAGCTTGGGGTTTGGCTCAGCCTGGGGTCTGGCTGCTCAGTGCCCTAAAGGTTGTGAACAAACCTGCTTTTAAGTCAAATTAAAGCTGAGCACAGTCGTTGGCCATTCCTTTGCCTTCCCCTGTGCAACCCCAGTGCTGGGGGCAAGAGAGGGCATCTCCTCTCCAGCTCTGGCTACCACTGCATTATATACAACATCAGCTGATAAATGTGACACCCTAAGAGGAAACAAAGATCCACAAGCATCAACAATTTCTTTAAGCAGTTGTCCTTCACAGCTCTCACACCTTTGTGTGACTGAGAGATTTTGGCAGAGCTGGAAGGGCGGTGGGAGAGTGGCCAGGCAGGACTGTGGCTGAGCCAGCAGCACATCTCCCAGCAGGTCACAGGATTTCCTTCCCTCCATCCCTCGGCCAGATTATCCCAGGAGCAGACGACTTTGCTGCTCAGGCAGCTTTTTGACCCAACAGACGATGGACTTAGTGCGCTGGAAAGGGCTCCACAAGCCTGGGGAGTAGATGAAAGGTGCCAAATTCCCTTTCCTGAGCCACTTGGAGCCTCTCTGTGACTACTGAAGTTCAAAAGTTACAAGCAATAATCACGTTTTGTCAAACAGATGCAGGTTACTCAGGGTAACCTGCTCGAACCTGGAAAATAAACTGCTGAGGAAATGCTGGAAATGTGGGTGAATCAACCAGGCTTTGGTGACAGGGCTCAGTTTAGGCTGGATTACTTGTCCTCAACAGTGCTTAGCAAGAAATAACTGTTCTGTTGGGGTGCTGATGTTGGATCTGGGCCAACTGCATGGGTGACGTCATCATTACAAATAATTGGAATATTTTTGTAGTTTGCAGACAGATTGTGAGAGCTGCACAACCCCAAACAAGCAGAGTCTGTCTGAGAGCAAAATGGTTCAGTCATTATCTACACTCAACCAACACAAGGGTCATTCATGGCCTGAATTTCAGGAAGAATCCTCCTGCCCTGACTTAGATCAATGCAGAGGGTGACAGAGCTGAGAGTCTGCTCATTTTCACTCATTCCAAAGAGCAGTGTGTCCACTGTGCTGGGCACCAGCTGGAATTCACACCCATGCCAGCTGCTTCCCAGAGTTAATCCCTGTGATAAAGAATCAAAACTTCCATGAAAGTCCTGGCTGGGACTCTCCAAATACTCTAGAACAGGGCTCCTCTCTTGTGTCCCTGTGATTCCTGGGAGCTCTTGCTCAGACCCAGAATTGCAGCTTTCCTCATCACTTGGGATTTGTCCCTGTTTCTTCAGGCTCACTTCAGAGGTGTGAGAAGCGTCAGACACACATTCCCTGTCTCGTTCTTTGCTTCTCTTTCAGCTGCATTCTAAGTTGTGCAATAAAACCTCTCGTTTGGATTTTGGATCACTCAGTGACAGGCTGCCTCTCCACCCTTGGGAAAAGAGTGACTTCAAGAAAAACTTCCTGGGCATCTCGTGATATCAGCCAATCACTCCTGTTTAGTTTAGCAGATATATGGGAAAGGCTCCTATACAGAACTATGAAACAATAGGAATCTGCAGGTATTTCTGAATTATACACACAAAAAGAGAAAAAGAAGAATGTTCCTTTTTACCTTGATTTCATTGTTCCCTAGTGGGAGACTGGGAAGGCAGCTGGAGCAAACCCCACCCATATTCTGGACATGGCATTATAGAAATTATGATGCCTCTCTTGCAAATAACGAATAAAAGCTGGGCTCTGCTCTGGCCTTGGACTAATGCAGCACAACCAATTTTAGCGGAGTTACCCCTGTGTTAGTCGGAAGCACGAGCCAAATACAACAAAATAAACCTCTCCCTGGCACCTGGAGTGACTCAGCTTATGTGGGTACTGCATGGACATTTAATTGAATTACACACACAGCCATAATTTTAAGAGGTTGATACAGTAAGCACCCAACATAGGGGAGAAAACCTCAAGTAAATTAAATTAATTATAGGTATATACTTAATAGAATTAATTGAGCTATGGAGGTTACTCAGAGTGCATGTTTGGTAGCATCAGGTTACACCTTGTCTCTTTTAAGGCTTTCTCCCCTTTGAGCTTGTGCAGCTCAGCAGGGCTTGCCATGGAGCACAAATCCTATTGTTGACTGCCCTGGAAGGGTCTCAGGATGCAGGGAGGAATATCTGGAAAGGAGCAGAGAGCTCATATGACAGCAGCCCTGAGAGGCAGCTGCACACCTTCCCTGCTCAGGGCCTGGGTGCAGCCTTCCCCCACCCACTGCAGTGACCCAGCCCAGCCTGCCAGGTGACAGACACCGTGGCTGTGTCCCACCATGAGAAGAGGGATTTGTCACCCTGGAGTCGGGCTGTGAGCAGCTGGGTACCCTGCACCTCTGGCTTCTCCCAGGGCAGAAACATAGCTCCTGCCTCCACCCTCTCACGCTTCCTCTCCTGTCTGTAACAGAGCAGGTGTGACAATAAAGACCCAGCTTCATCATTCATCACAGACATCAAATTACTCCCACCTACGGTGACTACATTTGCAACTCTCTCACGTATGCTGTGACTCAGGAGTGGGACTCTTATCTGGGGAAGCAGAATGCAGATCTGAACAGCACTGCTGTCTCCTGGAGGAGATAACGTGTCTCTGCGCAGAGCCCTCGTTCTGGGCTTGCCTTCTATCACACAGCTCCATTTGGCAGGGGCTGCCTGGTGTGTGTGATAGCAGGCACTGAATCATTTCAGAAAAAGACTTACTCTTTCTATAAAAACAAATGACTAATTAAAAGTGGTTTTAATTTTGTAGTTCATATTTCCTTGGGATTGTCCCAGACTCTGGAGCCCATGCTCCACACCCTGTCCTTCTGGAGAAATTTGGCAAGGGAAAGCATTGTGAGATTTGTTCCCTTTCCTCTCCCTTACTCCTAAAATCCCCCCTCCCCCTTCTCCCTTCCTGCAACTGGTAAATTGTGAAGAACAGGAATGTTCCTGGGAAGAAACCCAGGCAGAATTGCATTCAGAACAAGTCAAAGATTTCTTGCATAGCTGAAGCATGTGTTTGCAATCCCCCATTGCCGGAGCACGTAAGCCCTGCCAGCGAGCGCTGTTCCCTTCAGATGTTCTCAGAGAGCTCTAGGCAGTGTCCAGGGCAGCCTGTGGACAATCTGAGCTGAAGAATTGCTCCATGGCCCATCTGTTCATGGTGCCATGCCAAAAAGGTTCTCGGTGAAAGGATGGCAAAGAGCCAGCCCTACCATTCCAGGGAGCTGTTTTAGGGACTGCTCTGGGACCTCCCCCAAACACAAACTGGTTCCATGAGAGAGCTTGGCTGCTACTACCAACCTGTCAGCCCAGGCTTCAGGCAGCTTTTGGGATTGATGCTCTCCAGAATAGTCAGCATGTGCTACCCCAACAAAGGACAAAACCACAAGATCCCTAATTGTAACTGCTGGGAAGCAGCAAAGAGCCAGCAACTGCAGCCTGCTCCCCTTCAGCTTGAGAGGTGCCACCGATCCAGAGAGAAAATTACTCTTCCAAAGGGTGCTGTTCATTGGTTCAAAACAGGAACCTGACAGGGCCAGGAAGGATGGGAGCTGGGGGCTGGGACACTGGTTGGAAAAAGCAGCTTCAACATATTTGTGAGGAAGCTTTTGTCCTTGGCACTACATGGAGCACAGGATATTACAGGAGCACAGAGTGAGCCCTTGCTCAAGCTGGTGCTGACTTTAGGGAGAGGGAGGTTGATGAAAGCATCACTTGTCCTTCCAATGACCTTATCATGTGAGCTGAGCCTGCCAAGAGCTGTCTCTTGCTCTGTGCTCCTTGTGGCCTGAGCCAAGGCTCCTGGATGCTCTGTGCCACATCCAATATTGCTCAGCATCGCTCCCAGGGCTCACACACGCCCTGGGTGGGACCAGGACACCTCTGTGCTTTGCTGCCTCCAGATCATCTCACTTCCAAACAGGTCCAATCTTATTTTGCAATTTTTTGAGTGTAAGGAACACCCTCAGCTTAAGGGAGAAACAGAAGGAACAGAAGAGTCTTCCAAAGTAAGATCCTTGACCTCCATAGCTGCGTGGCTGTGCTGGCTCAACTTCATGCTTCCCAATAGGGTTCCCAGGTCTTTACTGGTGTGTGGCAACAATAATGAGCAAGTAACACGTGGGGGCAGCAGAAGGCTTTGCTTCCTTGTCTGGGAGTCTGTGGTTGGAGCATCCTTGCGAGGGTCCTGAAGAACTGAGGTGCTCCCAGGTTTGAGGGTTAGTGTGGTGGGCACAAGCTGCAGCTGCTC